ATTATTAAGGGATTGATTGTACATCGGAGTAGTTTAAACAATCGACACATCGTTATCTTTGATGTTATCGATATATTTATACATTTCACTTTGAAGGTAGGTAGATTAAAGATACGCAAATAAGTAGGTAGGGTGGCTGAAAACATTCGAAAAAATTTTCATTTCGCAGTTACAATTATATTAATTATATCCTTGTAAGATAAAGAAATGTAAAAATGATGAACTGAAAATTTTTTAGGCATACGGGAAATACTTTTTATTTATTTATTTTTTTTTTTCAGAATACAGGAATAATTTCTTTAAACTTGATTCTGAAAAAAATAAATAAAAAGTATTTCCCGTATGCCTAAAAATTTTTCAGTTCATTATTTTTTACATTTCTTTATCTTACAAGGGAATAATTAATATAATTATAACTACGAAATGAAAATTATTCCTGTAAGTGGTCAGCACGGATGTCGCGAATCAATCAGGAAGATCTACATTAACCTCTTAAAGCATTACTTAAGATCTTAAAGTAAGAACGGACTGTGAATATCGACCTCTTGGTTTCACAACATCTTCAAATTGTATTTAACACTTTAAGTAATGAGAATCGATTGCGGATACCGATCTATGATCACCTCACCTACCCGCTTGAAGGTTGCGGCTTTCAAGAACAACGGCAAATCCATCTGTGCGGGAAGAATCGAAGAATTTCTCCCGTTATTTCTGTTAATCGGTCCACCGTAAATTCATTAGGCGCTGACACGCGATCGGGAGCCGCGCCGGTGTAATATTACTTTCGACGATCACTCGTAGCGCCGACACAGCAGTGAGCCGGTACACGCGTAATCGCCTTTGCGAGACGACGCGCGACAGCTTAAATTTCAGAGAAAGGCGCGTGCGAAAGGCGACGGACGCGCGGCGCCGTCTATTATCCCTCGTCCTATCTCTTTTCCGGGATCTGTCCTCTATTCCATCCTGGCCTTGTCATCGTGGGGTGTATATACAAATGCGCGCGGCGGGACGCAACGATGCGGCGCCGACTCTCGTGTAGCACCCCCCATCGGATTGTCGGGACTGAACTTGTTCGCGTTCTAACGCCGCTCCGGGGACAAAAAGCGCGTCCCCTCCGGAGCGGCGACGTAAAGTTCTTCTGGGTATATTGATAAAAGTGAGGAGGAAGCACAGAGTCTTAACTAATAACGTGTATACGACGCCCTCATTTCCTCCCTTTTCGCGAATTAAAAGATTCCGATCGATCGATTTCTTTATGCATTGTGTGTTATACAAAGGCTTGCGGTCTTAACGCAAAAAAGGTCGCTTGAGGGACTTAATAATCGTATCATATTAATCATCTGTGATCACGTTCTTTTTTCCACTTCTTTTGGGCTCTAGTTTCAAAAAATTTCTGGTACACTCTTTTAACGCTCCAAGATACGATTTTACGATCCGGCACGACCGGTTTTTCCATTTTTTTTTTTTTTTTTGTAAGTGTCCGAATTTGAGGCGGAACCATTGAAAATTGAAAATTCACCCGGCTGCATCACGGAGAATGAAAGAATTTGTTGAATAACGATGGATCGAATAAGTCAAGATGAAGAGTAAAATAGCCGTTAGAAAAACGGAATACGAAAAGCAGCCCATAGGAAGACAGCGTTTGTTGAGGTGAAAAAAAAATATATATGCGTTACTTTTATTAATATCGAGTTCCAACGGCAACAGCCTCGCTTTGAGTCTCACTGAGGAAAACGCGCGGGAGAGCCGCACCAGGAAGACGCCGCTATACATTCCTTTCTTTTTCCTCTCCTCTTCACTCGACGACGTTACGCCCCTGAGCGACTCATGCCGCCGCTATGCGTGCCCGTAGTACGTACAGCGTATGTACGCAACACACTTCTTTCCTCATTCAGGTCGCCGCTCGTGGCTCCTACTCGTATTCGTTCTCGACGCTGCTCCGCCTCTCTTTCCTCGCGGAGAGAAAGACGCGCGCGGGCCGTATGCAAATGAAGCGTAGCGCGGATGTATTTCACTCCTGGACCAGGTGCCCTTTTTCGCAGAATGAGAAAACGAAACGATAATTGACGACACGCTGCCTGAATGCCCACTGCGGTACTAATTGAAACGGCCGGGAAAAAAAATCTTATTTCTTCCTATTTTATATCATCTCTCTCTCTCTCTCTCTCTCTCTCTCTCTCGCTCGAGTTTTAATTCAAGAACACGTCACAAATTCCTAAAGTTCTCTAACTTTTCCCCCCTTTCTCTTTACGTGAAAATGTTGTGTATTTTCGTGCCGATTTGGAAACCGTGAAATATATTTTGTTGAAAGATCAATTAGACATAGCAATGTAAATTTACTGTTAGTGTTGCTGACGCTGCTTGCATTTTTAATTGTGAGTAGATCGAAAACTGCGTAGGTGTGTGACGTACACTGTTAGAAATGCTTCCTTCACATGTAAATGAAGGCTCGTGGTTATGAACGAAATCAAAAGAGAAATGAACGATTTAACTGAAAACTAAGTTACGGTATAGTTACTTAAATGTAATGAACGTGTACATTAAATTTTCATGAGAATACATTAAATTTAATGTAACGTCATTAAATTAAATTCAAATTGTGTAACTTAACAGTGCATGAAATGCGTTTAACAGTGTACATCAAATGTTAATGAAAATCAAGTGTTCTTCTTTAAAGAATCATCAAGAATCTGAATTTTTCGGAAAAATTTGCAAAATCCTTTCTCTCCAGTTTTGCGGCAATCCTATATTTCTACGCTGGAGAAAAGAAATTATTTATTTGATTAAACAACTATAATTAATTTAGTCGAATAAATAACTTTTTCTCCCCCCCCCCCCTCGGTATAGGATTAGGAAAAAAAGCGAAAAAGATGAGGAATAAATTGAACTAGGATTAAAATTACAGCTTTCCCAGCTTTAACATATGTGCCTAACGGCCCGCGGCTGGTTACGAGCGTTCGTTCGTGCCCTTTCGCCCGCCTGACTCGAAGGATGCTCCTTCGATGTGAATCTTAGTGACTTTACGCGAAAGGACGTGGATTATGCAAGGGTTAAACGCAAAGTACCCATCGGGTGTGTAACGTCACTCTCTCGCGTCGGCGCGACGGCGACGCGACATTTAAGATATTAATTTATAGAGGCTGCTCGTCGCGAGCGCGTGCAACACGGCCGGTAAATGTCTCGCGCAATCGATTCCGATGACGGGTCAATTAGGAGCTCGCGGCATAAAGACCTATGACGGATTTTCTTCGATCTAATCGGCCGGCATGAATAATCATGATTTCTCAAGTGTGTGCCAATTAAATTCTTCGATCTCACATCGGTGGGCATTCGCGAGCGCGGCTAGTTTGTAACCAAATTTTCCAACAGTTTTATTTTTATTCCAATAACTACTCGACTTCATTATTTTGATAGATTAATTGACTTTTATTATCTTAATATCAATTGCTACTTTCATTTTGCTTCTACCTATTCCCTCACTGCTCTTGTTTATTACATCTACTTTATTACATTACGTATGTATATTTTATTTATCTCTTCGTGTAACACTCTCTCTTCAAATGTCTGCGCAACCTGTCTGTAAATTTTCTCGTCTCGTGCTCGATAATTATCTTACTTTGAATGATCTCTCGAAGTTTCTGCTCCAATCGCACATCCATTTCAATCCTCACTTTGCGTTTTTTTCCCATTTCTCAACGTTATCCCTACCGTGCGTGTTCTTAGAAGACTCGAGTAGCAATAAATACTTTATCTATCTATCCTCCTCGAAATATAAATATCAATTACGCTCCGAGAGAGACACCGTCGGTTATCGCGCTTGTTAAAGGAGATGACAGCGTTACGCCGTCCAACGCAACACCCGCGAACAGTCCGAACAAGTGTGGAAAATATTCCGTCCGTCATATAGATATCAAACGGCGTGACAAGCAATTCACAAAATTGCAACAGCCCGCGGACCTATTCCGTATAACTTTTTGCGTTGCAACCCGACTGACGAAACAATTGCCCGTTAGCGTTACTATATACGACTTCATATGCGAGCGAGCGCGGCGTTAAGAGAGCAGCGTTAAAATCACGGCGTGTGAGAAGCGCAACGTAAACATATCGCTCGCACTTTGTACGCAACAATGCTAACAGGATGAAAAACGGTTCCCATTGTAGGCTCTCGCGTTCCGCGCGAGTTTCACTCGTCATCTGGCTTGACGTGACATTAAACGTTTAACCGAAATTCGAACGCAGACAATCGTCGTAAAGAGATCTTCCTCTATTCTCTCAAGCCAGCGTATACATCATCTACGAACGAACGCGAAAGTTCGTTGTTATTCGTAGCACAAGTTCAATTGTTGTACATATGCGGCGGAATTTGATCGAACGCTGGCGCTCGATGTGAGAAATGACGAAAAGAATAAGAAATGTCTTGTAAATGAACACGACTGAATTCGCGTTTGCTCGCAAAAGGCTCGATTCCACCAATAAAATTAATTTAATCTAGTTACTTAATCTTTTTTTTTTTTTCATTCTTACGTGGAGAAAAAAATTGTTCGTTTGACTAAATTAATTTAGTTCTTCCTCATATCTTTCGATAAAGAATGTATATCATATTTGACTTAAAAATACATACATTCTCGAAAATAAATAAAGACAACTAAATTGATTTCCAATTAGTCGAGTAAACAATTTGGTCGAATGAATACTTTCTCTCTCGCAATGCAAATTCGAAAAGAATACAGAATAAATTGATGCGAGATTAAAATCTTAAGCTTATTCGACTAAATTAATTCAGTTCTTTATTTCTTTCGCTTACAAATATATGTATTTAAATCAAACATATTATATTCAGCAACGAAATAAAGACAACTGAATAAACTTGGTCAAATAAACTAAATTAATTTAGCCAGATGAATAATTTCTCTCTCTCTCTCTCTCCCTCAGTGCAAAATTCGAAAAATATAAAGAATATTGAAGAAAGAGATAATTGAAGAGAGAGATTAACGTTATTCTCAGATTTTTGGTAGAACCGGATTTGCGTGAGGTGGATGTACGCTTCTCAGCTTGATATTTTCGTGACGCGCAGCAGGGGAGAAGAGTGATTTTCGCAATCCTACCTTGAGGAAGCAGCGTCCGACGGGCATGTTCTCCGGCACGGTGGCGTTGTAGAGCGGCTTCTCGAAGATCGGCTCGTTGTCGTTTAGATCGTGGACGGTGACTCGCACGGTCGCGCTGCTGCTGAGAGGCGGTCGTCCGGAGTCGGTCGCGTACACCACCAGGATCGGTGCCGGGTTCGCCTCGCAGTCGACGTGCGTGACCGTGGTGATAAGTCCGGTGGTCTCGTCGATCGCGAACCACGTTGCGTTCGCCAAGGAGTAACGAACCGCCGAGTTGACGCCCTCGTCGAGATCGGTCGCGAACACCTGTATCACCGACGTCCCGGGCTCGGACGCCTCCAGGAGATGTGCCTCGTACCTCTCGTGCTCGAATTTCGGCGCGTTATCGTTGACGTCGGTGACGAGCAGCCGGAAAGTGCGCTCGGCGCACAACGGAGGCGTACCGGCGTCCGTCGCCTCCACCGATAACTCGTAGACGGACTGCTCCTCGCGGTCCAAAGGTCGCTCGACCACCACGAGGTAGATGATGTTGTCCCGCGTAGTCAGGCCAAAGTGACCCTCGCCGCCTGTCAAGGTGACCGTCGCGTTCGAGTACTCCGTCCGGGAGTCGGGATCGCTGACGGATATCCGGGCGACGAACTCACCGAGCTGCGCGCTCTCGCTGATCTTCGGAGTCGCGTCGTCCGAGAGGAAGATGACGGTGATGTCCGGCTGATTGTCGTTGACGTCGGTCACGCGGATGGAGAGGAAGGTGCTGGCTTCCAACGGCTGGGCGCCGCGATCCCGAGCGACGATCACCAGCTCGTGCCGTTCCTTCGACTCGAAGTCGAGGGCCTTGTTCACGTATACCATCCCGGTCTCCGGATCGATGCGGAACATCTCCTCGCGATCGGACTGTCGGCGATTGATGGAATACTCGATGCGGCCGTTGTCCCCGGCGTCGGCGTCGGTCGCGTTCACCGCGAGCACCGGCGTGCCGACAGTCGCGTTCTCCGGCACGCTCGCGTCGTAACGCGTCTGGTTGAAGACGGGCGGATTGTCGTTGACGTCCTGGACGGTGACGTTTACGTTCAAGTGGGAGCGGAGCGGCGGGCTGCCGCCGTCGAGCGCCTCGATCACCAGATGATAGCGGGAGCGCATCTCCCGATCGAGCGAGCCGGCGATCTGAAGGTCCAGGTACAGAACGCCGTCGCGGCCGCGTTGCTGCGACAACCGGAACGCGTCGCCGTCGTTCCCCGACACGATCTCGTAGCGCTGCGTCGTGTACTGGCCGAGATCGGGATCGTAGGCCGGCGGCAGAGGCCGTTTCACGTCACGGGGCGAGTTCTCCGGGAACTCGATGTACACGTGGTCCGCGGCGAAGGTCGGCGCGTTATCGTTCTCGTCGAGCACAGTGATAACCACCCGCACTCTCGGCAACGCCACCAGGCTGTACGACGGTCGGGTCTCGCGGTCCAAAGGCACCCGCGTCCTTATCTCCCCCGTTGCCGACTCGATCATCAGGTCGGTCTCCACCGGCGAACCCGGTACCGGCGCTATCAGATAAGGCGGGCTGTCAATGTCGATGAAACCCACCCGGGTGCCCGGCCGCACGTTCTCGGACACCTCCAGGTACTTAACGCGCTCGTGCAGCGCACCCGGGGCGGGGGTCGCGCCCAGGCCGGGGGTCGCTCCCAGGACGAGGAACAGTAGCAGATGCCACATCCTGGGGCCTCCAGCACCACGCCACGGCCGTCCCTCCTCCTCCTCCTCCTCCCCTCCTCCTCGCCCTCCTCGATACTCGCGATATTATCTCGATCTTTCCATCCTTTACGGCGCGGCCGTCGGTCGCGATGCAAAGCGAAACGTACAGATTCCTCGTACCTGCCGAGTCCTCGTGTCTTCCTCGTGTCTTCCTCGTGTCTTCCTCCTCCTCCTCCTCCTCCTCCTCCGTACGCGCACTTCCTCCTCGTCGCTTCTTTTTTCCCCTCCTTTTTCTTTCACCGGCACTTTCCTTATCACCCCAACTTAACCTAACCTTTGTATTAACACCAACACGCAAGCAACCACCAAATATCACTGTTTTATCCTTGAACGAGTCTCCCGCGACTGTATTCACTCCACCGACTTTATTATACGTTCACACGCGAAGTACCGATTCCCTTCTCCTCTTTCCACGAACGTTTCAAGTACCGGCTAGTACCTAATTGTCTCACCGCGTCGTAGATTTACAGCCGCGGCCGCGCAAACTGTGCTCCGGTCCGCTCCGCGAGAACATAGCAGCGGAGATTCGCTCGTCCGAAGTGAAGTTGGCCGTTGGTCGAATTATCGCGGCCGCTCTACTTTTCTCTTCGACGAAACTTCCTTTCTCCCTTTCTCCTTTCCCGTTTTCTTCGCCGAGTTCCTTTATCACGGTGAGATACGGCGCACTCCTCGCGTTGTCCGCTCCGTGAGAAGGTAGCAGCGGAGATTCGCTCGTTTGGAACGCCTTCCGAAGTGAAGTTGGCCGCTGACCGAATTATTTCCCGTTTTCTTTGCCAAGTTCCTCTATGAAGGGGAGATATGGCACATTCCTCGCGTTAGATCCACGTCCCGATAACCGGCACAACCGATCAGCACGACCGGTCGCGAACCCGGTGCGATCGTCCCGCGTCATGCATGACCGTCGTGTTCCCGTCCCGTCGGGACACCTCGCACTCCACGGCGCTGTCGCGGATTCCGTCCGAACACTCCGTGTTCGTGATTCGTCTCACGTTGACGTCACGGGCCGGTCATCCAGTTGCCGCTGTCATCCCCGCTGACCGGCTGCCGCCGTAAAACGCTCCGCTCCGTCCGTCGGATCGCGTCGATCGATTCGCGAATCAACAGACCGGAATCAACGGACCAGAGTGAGAAACCAGTCTGTACGCTGGAGGTCCAGGAAGAAAATTCCAGAAACGAGGATACCAGGAAGGCAAAATCGAATGACTCGCGGACGACGGCTTTCGTCGAAAGAACACTCCGAACTGTCAATCGTACGTAACCACCTGTCGAAAAATCGCGGAATAGATGAATAACGACGCGCCCTTTGCCCAACCTCGTTACGCGAAGTAATCACGATACAAAGACGCGACTTGCCCGTATCTATTCGCGGCTTTCACGGAGCAAGGGAGACACGCGCCGATCGTCTCGTCTCTCCTACGCGGCCTTACTTTAATCGCGAAGGGTCGGCGGAACACTTTCCACGATCACGCACCGTTTTCTCTCCCGATCCGGAGGAGACAGGATCGTGCCGTCCCCGGTGGTGCCGCCGTCTCTCTTCACTTACGACGTTACAGCAGCTGCGGAGGCTCCGTCGAGCTGCGGGCACGCGAAAACGATAAGGAGGATTAGATAACCCTTGACCCTTCCCTCCGCAGATAGACAGCGGTGGGCACGAGATATCGCGTAGTCGGGCCCAACGTCCGTTCCGCGCGGCTTCGAGGTTAGGCATGCACTGACATGGCGGCACCTGCGAGGCCTACCCTTCCCCTAACCCGACGGGCTCGCCTGGCACGGTCAGGGGGGCTCACGGCTGGGCCTCAGCTCGACCAGCGGCGGCCATCTTGGGAGAGGGGAGCCTCGATTCTCGAGTCGGCGGCGCGCTGGTGCCGGGCACTGTTGGGCCCCGGCATTCAACGCGCTCTTCGAGTCTTCGGGTCTTCGCGGCAGCGAGCAGCTAGACCATACCAAGCTCTCTTACCTGCCGCCCCGGCTGCTTGCATGCCGACTCTCTCCCTTTCTCTCTCTCTCTCTCTCTCTCTCTCTCACGCTCCTCTTGCTCCCTTTCCTCCACCCTTTCGTATTTCTTCCTCTACCTACCTACCTACCTACCTGAGCGCTCGGTATGCGAAAAACTGACTTACCGTCGGCGCTCATTCCGCGCCCGACCCTACGAGACTCCACCGTACCGAGGATCCACCTCGTGCCAAAGGTCCCGGAATTTTGTCACGTGAGACGGGAAAAACGTGCCGTCTCCTAGAAACGCGAACTGGGCCTACAGGAAGGATCTCCCCCGGGGCGAGAGAATCTTTTCGGTGTGTCGCACCGATTGTCTAGTCTAGACTAATGAAACCGGACAGATCGTGAGGATCCTGGAATTTTGCGACCTGAGAAACATTTGCCAGAAAA